TATATATATATATATATTAAATATAGTTTAAATAATAATGGTTAAAAAAATAGGAGCAAAAATAATTAATTTTAGTTTCATTGCAGACTGGTGACATCCAATCTGTACCGCTCCGATCAGGAGGGATCTGTGCACATGAAAGGGGCCTTACTCGGTAATTCCTAGATTTCAGGTCAGAAATTGCCGCTAAGGGTGGCAAGGAAGAATGCAAACAGGGGCAAAAGGACAAGGTGTGCTTCATACGCCCTGTAAACTTCTATGAAGTTTTTCTGGTCTTATATAAGCATGTCCAATGTTCACAACTGGTCGAACATTTTTTTCTACCTTCATTTCTGAAGTATATAAAGAGTTATTATTGGCAACTTTTTAAAAATATTTTTGAAAATTAAAAGTACAAACAAAACAGAAATTTGTAGCATAATAGCAAAGCTTCCTTAAGCCTACTTAAAATGTATGTTACACTACAGAAAGGCACAATGATATTCTCAGTGCAGGTCAGTAGGAATTTCAGGCAACTCCCTTTCCCATATGGTAGTAATCCAGACCAAACACACCAGTCCTCGTCACCTGGACACTGGAGCAAAATCCATTTTCACTGCTGATTTATCTTGTTTTAAGTGGAATCAAATGAAAACCTGAAAGCCCCCAGATAATAAGAGCAAAAGTAAAATTCCATTCGAAGTTCAGAGTTTCCCCTTTGGACTAATAATTGTACATTGCTTGCTTGATATAATCATATGTGTTTGATGCCTGTCTATCGCCCTTTTTCAGGTCTGAACAAGTCTGCAGTGGAAGTAACAGGTTTAACTTTAAAGTGACACTAAAATCTTGAAAATACATTCAAGGACCTTAACTATTACCAAAAATGTCTCTTATTTGTGTATCTCTCAGCTGTAGATCCTCAAATCATCTCTGAATTGGTGCTGACACTGTCCTTCCTTCTGGAGGGTGGTTACTTTTGTTCCCCATGGTCCCTGTGTGTGTTGTAAGGTAGTCACCACTCCAAGCTCACTCCCGTGATGGACTACAATCTCATGTTTAGATTACTAATTTGTATTGAGATTGTAGTCCATCACGGGAGCGAGCTTGGAGCGGTTACATCAAATGGTCTCTACTGTATCAAAATGATATTTTGTTGTTAGGCAGCTCACATTGGACATTTTCGATTTGCATTCCCAAATTTCTAACACAAAAGCAAGAAATAATTTATAATCATTGCTCATTCAAGCTTAGAAAAACACCACGTAAGTAAACACACCCTTCTTGTACATTATCATCTGGAAGCATTTCTGTGTGTTCTTGTCATATAAGGGGTGCATTGGGGGCACCCTGGAAGCATTTTTCTCCATTCTCCTGCAAGGAATAGAAATCATATATAAACCCCATACAGGGAGAATGTATGTCACAGTAAAATCATTATCAAATATAAAGAGATATCCCAAGTACGTAAGCAATTAACGTACAACAAAATAAAACATAATTGATGGGTATGACAGATGATCAATGATGT